CCAGGCTTCTTGAAGGACATTCAAATCTCTTCTTTGGATGTTAGCTGCCATCCCTTCTCTGTCAAGATGATCCCCACTATTCACTAATGTTGATGTCCAGGCTGTGGGGAGGCCAATCCACAACTGATAGCATTCCAATATGTGTTTTTCTATCTGAAGATGGTGGTTTTGTAAATGCTATTTATTGTTTAATTACGATAGCATAATGGTGATAGGGAGGCCCCAACCCCACCTCCCTAATGTAGGAGCCAACCAATAAGACCACTCCCTCCATGACTGCGACCAGTAAAACCACAATCATCACCAGCATTTGGTGAGAGTAGGAAAGAAAACCTGGCTTTAAACAAGAAGAAACCTCCACAGAACCATGCTCAGAGTGGGGCAGCTATCTGGCAGGACCAATCAGGGTTAAGGGCAGGAAGACAGACAAACCATATTAATCACATTAGCATAATGATGATAGGAAAGCCCCAACCCTGCCTTCCTAATCTGGGAGCAGACCAATAGGACTGCTCCCTCCTTGACTGCAACCAGTAAGACCACAATCATCACCATCTAACAAGGTACCAGTGGTATGAAACACACATGTTGCATTCCACTTGTGGCACCACTGTGGCAGTCCGGTAAACAGGTCCCTGGTGGCAGGAAGTCAGTGGGTCAGAGGGGCCAGCCGAGATTCAGTCTCTGAGGATTTTACATGTTGGACACTGGCCTTGAAAGGTAGGGTGTAACGCCGATTGTCCATCAGCAAAATTCTTTCCCATCTTCCTCTTCATCATCCTTTCATTTTCGCTTCCAGTATCCAGCTGATGCTGATGTAGATGACGCTGACACACGGTCATCTGGATCTGGAGGTGATGTCTGACAATTTGCTGCATGACCTGACTCATTTGCTGCCTATCTGGTCATGAATTTTCTTCTCTCATCTTTTATTTTTTCTGTCATGATCCTGGGTCATTTGACCCAGTGTTTTGTGTTTATTATTATTATGATCTTGTGTTCTAGTTCATTCTGATTATGTGTTCGGGTTTAGACTTTTTGGTTTTTATGGTTTTGGTTCTGTGTTCCCTCTGTTTAGTGTCTGCCCATGTGTTCCCTCTGTACTCTGTCTGTTACTGTGTCTCTGAGTCCACGCTGTGCATTTCCTCTTTTATTTTGATCTGTGTCTTATGTCCGTGTGTTCAGTTTTGTGCTCTCCCTGTCTCGTCTGTGTAATCAGTGTCAGACATGTCTCCCAGCTGTTTCCTTTCAGTCCTGTTCACCTCTTGTATTTAGTGTCTGCATCTTCCCCTGCTCGTTTTCACGTCGTCCCACATTCTACTCTGTTTGCCTGTTTTCCTGCATGTTGCTTTCCCAGTTTAGTTAGTTTTCTGTTCAGTCTCCTATCTCCCAATAAAGCTGGGTGTTTTGACTTCACATTTGCCTCCGTGAGTCCTGCTCTTGGGTCCACCATTCCTGCCTGCCTTCACACAGCCATGACATTTTCTTCTTTTCTTTCTGTTATTTATCTTCCTTTCTTTAAGTCTCTGTTTTCCTAATTTTCTGCTTTGCAGTTTTTCGCTTTTTCCTTCTTATTTGTTTCCTGGGTTTGTTCCTGCTGCTTTTATTGGATGCAAGCTCCTCTGCAGAAGGAAACACAATGTATATTATATATAAATATTATA